GACTCCATATTGATTATGACATCTCTTACATTTCCCCCACAGGCGTCTTATCATCTTTAAGCACGATGTTCCCCTCACCTCCTTTATCTGCCTTTGTCAATACCAGTTAATGTTTTCTGTTTCTCTTTTAAAAAATATTTTATGTCATGTTTATGAGTATATTGCATGCTTGTATATAAGTGCACCTGTGTTAGGCAGTGACTGGAGAGATCAAAAGAGAGTGCCAGATTCCCTTGGAGCTGTAATTACAGATGATTATTAGCCGCCATGTGAGTGCTGGGAATCAATCCCAGGTCCTCTGCAAGAGCAGTCAGTGCCCTTAACCACTGAGCCATCTCTCCAGTATGTTTTCTATTTTTCATACTACTTTTTGCTCTCTTAGCAAGTTAAACATCCCGTTAATGACTTTTTGGATGATTATCCCAGCTGGAAACACATATCTGGATTTAAGACTAATTCAGATTACTGGTACTGCTCCCTTCAAAATGCTACAGCCAGAACAACAAAACTTTGACTCCATTTACTTCTTCCCTGCCCTGTGCCAACGGAGCTGTGCACTTTAAATTTACATGTATTTCTTTAAAAAGTTTGTGTATGAATGCTTTATCTGCACGTGTGTGTAAGCGTACCACATGTGCGCATTGCCCACAGAGGCCAGAAGAGGGCATTGGATCCCTTGGATCTGGAGTTATGGATGGCTGTTAGCCACCATGTGGGTGCTGGGAATCGAACCGGCATCATCTGCAAGAGTAGCCAGTGTTCTTAACCACTGGACCAGCTCTCCAGCCCCACAGTACATGCATTTCAAGCTCCGTCAAACACAGCTGCTTCGCATAGTCTAGTCATGGGCTATGCTTTTGTGTTTCCAGGTGGCTTTGCTCCTTCAACTCCAGGTTTCCCTGGGGTTCATTTTCCTTCTGTCTGGATGTTGGGTGCTTGGATGTTTGGGTGTTTGGGTGTTTGGATGTTTGGATGATGTTTGGATGTTGGATGTTTGGATGTTTGGGTGTTTGGATGTTTGGATGATGTTTGGATGTTGGATGTTTAGATGTTGGGTGCTTGGATGTTTGGGTGTTTGGGTGTTTGGATGTTTGGATGATGTTTGGATGTTGGATGTTTGGATGTTTGGGTGTTTGGATGTTTGGATGATGTTTGGATGTTGGATGTTTAGATGTTGGGTGCTTGGATGTTTGGGTGTTTGGGTGTTTGGATGTTTGGATGATGTTTGGATGTTGGATGTTTGGATGTTTGGGTGTTTGGATGTTTGGATGATGTTTGGATGTTGGATGTTTAGATGTTGGGTGCTTGGATGTTTGGGTGTTTGGGTGTTTGAGTGTCTGGGTGTCTGGATGTTTGGATGTTGGGTGTTTGGATGATGTTTGGATGTTGGATGTTTAGATGTTGGGTGCTTGGATGTTTGGGTGTTTGGGTGTTTGGATGTTTGGATGATGTTTGGATGTTGGATGTTTAGATGTTGGGTGCTTGGATGTTTGGGTGTTTGGGTGTTTGGATGTTTGGATGATGTTTGGATGTTGGATGTTTAGATGTTGGGTGCTTGGATGTTTGGGTGTTTGGGTGTTTGGATGTTTGGATGATGTTTGGATGTTGGATGTTTAGATGTTGGGTGCTTGGATGTTTGGGTGTTTGGGTGTTTGGATGTTTGGATGATGTTTGGATGTTGGATGTTTAGATGTTGGGTGCTTGGATGTTTGGGTGTTTGGGTGTTTGGATGTTTGGATGATGTTTGGATGTTGGATGTTTGGATGTTTGGATGTTGGATGTTGGGTGTTTGGATGTTTGGGTGTTTGGGTATTTGAGTGTCTGGGTGTCTGGATGTTTGGATGTTGGGTGTTTGGATGATGTTTGGATATTGGATGTTGGATATTTGGATGTTTGGATCAACATCTTCACCACTTTTTGAGAATTCATGACCGTTGTGTGTTCTAAGCATTCAGATCCCACGTCTCCCTCCTCCTCTGCTAACACCTGTTACCTCTCCCTCAGGTCTCCTCAAGGCACCTTTCTGTTGCACACGCTTCTGTATTTTCCTCTGTTGTACATCTCTGTGGTTGTTTTCTGTGAATTACCTTCTATTTCACTGTTGTTTCCTGATGTGTCTACTCTCTAGTTAACCCTTACATTGAATTCTTACTTTAGTCAGTACGTCTTTTAATTTTAGAATCTCCATTTTTTTATTTATAGTTTCATTTATCTGCTAACACGTTTTGTCTTGCCTTCTGTTCTCTCCCTTTTTAATTTTGTCATTCTTTTTGTTTCCTCTAATTAGAAAAATATTTATTTTTATTTACTTTTTTGTCTCTGTCCCTGTGTCTCTCTCTGTGTCTCTGTCTCCTCTCTGTGTCTCTCTGTCTCTCTGTCTCTCTGTCTCTCTCTCTCTCTCACTCTCTCTCTGTATTTCTCTGTGTAAGCACATTTGTGTGGGTGCTGGCATAGGCCAGAGGAAGGTGTCTGATCCCCTGGGATGTTGTGAGTTTCCTTGTGGGTGCTGGGAACCAAACTCGGGTTGTCTGTAAGTGCAGCTAGCCGTCAATTGCTGAATCATCTCTCCAGTCCCCGTGTTTCCTTTAAGATAGTCCCATGATCAGGCATAGCATACTACCTGTGCTTCTGCGTTATTCTCTTCTTTTCCTCTTTGCTTTGACCATGTGAGCTGATCTTCGCTATTATTGAGTGCTGTTTGAAGGCTAGACTGTACATGTGCAAAACTGTGGAAGCGAAAGACCATGTGATAGTCTGCCTGAAATGGTTCATCCTGTCTATCTCTGGGCTAGGAAAGTGGGCTGAGCACCTTGGTCTCAGAGACTGTGCTTGGGTAAGGCTGCATCATAAGTCTGGTCAGATTGAATACCTTGGTCTCTGTTGTAGTTTTATTTCTGTCACTGTGATAAAAATGCCCAGACGATGGGCGTCGTTGGGGAGAGTCTGTTTGACTCACAATTCCAGGCCATGGTCCATCATTGTGGGGAAGTCGAGGCAGGAACTCAAGCAGCTGTCACATCACATCCACAGTCCAGAGTAAAGAGGACGGCTACATCCTGCCTGCTTGCTCACCCTCAGCCAGCTCTGCACCCCTATACTGTTCAGGACCCCATGCTTAGGGAATGGTACAGGCTACCGTGGACTGGTTCTTCCTACACCAATTATCCATCAAGGCCATCCCCTGCAGGCATGCCACAGGCCACCCTGATCAAAAGTGCTGCATTAAGACCCTCTTCCCAGGTGATTCCAGGTTGTGTCAAGTTGACCCTTAAAACTGACCAATACTCTCTCATCAGAGAAAGTGCTGAACAAGACTGGTTGGGTGCCTGGAGAGCTGTGGTCTGCATTTGATTTGCCCAAGTTCTCCCCTGTTTCCACCCAAGAATCTGCTATGCCCTTGGAAGTCCTTTTTCTTGGCATTTTGGAATCTTAAGTCATTTCTTCTGTTCACCTGTAGTGGTCTGAGTGAGATGGTCCCCCACAAGCTCATGTATTTAAACACTTGGTAAGTTGGGGAAGGCCACGGAACCTTGAGGAGGTGAGATGTACCTGGAGGACGCATGTCCCTGGGTTCAGGCTTTGGGAGTTCCATCTGGCTGTCTCTGAGTCCTGTGCCTGCCTGAGGATGTGAGCACTCAGCTCTGCTACTTCCCAATACCTCTCCCACCACAACAGACGCCGATCCCTCTGGAGCTCTAAGCCCAAATCAGCTCTTCCATCTAGAAGTCACCTTGGTCATGGTGCCTTATCACAACAAACTAATACAGCACTGATACCAATTCCACTCGGCTTTCTAGAAGTTTTCATTTTGGCGTTTAGCCTCATATACCATTGCATCGCTAGGAAGTGGTGAATGGCCTGGGGTGGCAGAAATACCCACATGGCACCTCCCAGGGACTCGCAGTGCTGCCCGCCACTGCTTCCCTGCCACCTGTAAGCAGAAGTCATGACTCTGTAATTTTTCATCATTTAAGCAAACCTCTATTTAGAAACCTTTATTTGCAAAACAGATGCACTAGTTTGCAATTTCCCTATTTACACAAAATTCCTTGCTTTACACTGGAACTCATTTAAATGTAAGATTACCTCCAGGGTAATTAATTATCACTTAGTTTATGAAATTTTCCATTGTATACAAGTTTCAGGTAGGGTATATTTTTAATTAGGCAGGAAGCTAGTTTACATTAATAAAACATCTGAGTTGCCACATTTTAAAATGTAAATGCAGTTTGAAGTAACTACAAATAAATTATTTATGGATAGAACCTATTTACAGTGGGCAACATATTTGCATACACATAACCAGCCTACAACTTCCTTACCCATTTAAAGAAGGAACTGCAGCTCTTGAAACTCTTCCAGTTCCCATTGCCTCTAAAATGAATGTGTTGGTGTAGTCCCTTACAGTGATTTTGAATTTACCATGATAGTGTCATTTTCAAATTATTAAAAGATTGTGTTACAGTTAAACAATTAAGTGTCCTGTCCTTGTGTTTATTAGTTATATAACATGAGAAAAATCCTGGCAGAGGTTCTGTGGATGTGGTTCGTGATGGAGCCCTTGCCTAGAATGCACGAGTCCCTGTATTTCATCACCAGTACCACAAAATAAATAAACACAAAGGAAAACTGACCAGAAACACGTGGTTAGAAGTGTTTCTGTGAGGTGGAATTAAGGATGAGCTGAGCCCTCCTTTTCTCCTCCTTGTCCTTTGCACCCTTCTGTTTGTGCACACGGTCTCTTTTCAGGTTTATGACATGTGTTGTGTTGCCATGAAACGGTAGTATGCATTGTCACTAAGTTCACTCTTCTGCGTATGTCCGTAGTTGGTGGCCTGGACACACCTGTCGTTCAAGTCCCATTCCGTGTTTGATGGAGGTTGGAAATGGTGCCTCTCTCTCCCTCAGCTCCCCCATCATCTCTCTTGGTGACCGTGGATGCGGGGCACGCAGTGGGAGTGCTCTCCACAGGCTGTCACGGTGGTGTGTGTTTCTTGCAGGTTGTATGAGAGCAAGGGGGAGGCCGACTTCGTGGAGTCCTCACTGCAGCTCTTCCGGTCCATCAACGACATGATGAGCAGTGTGTCGGAGCTCACGCTCAGGGTGAAGGTAGGTGTTGCACGCTCAGCCACACTCATGCTGCTTTTCAGGGCATGAATCTGTTCTGGGATGAGAGACGGGGCTAGTCACTGCACCTGTGGACCTGAGCCTCTGCTCAGGAGTCTCGTGTCTGTGCGGTGCGTTCTCCTCTCTAGATGAACTATTGCTTGTCTCTGTGCTCTGTGGCCTGGAGAAGTTCTGAATGTACATTATATAAGGAGAGGAAAGTTGATTAAGATCATATTTAATACTCAACTTGTCGGGTGTCCGTCCGGCATCTGGGACCCTGGGAGGCTGAGGCCAATGGAGCCTTCGTCATACTTCAGGCCCTGAAGAAGAGGTGGGCTCTAGCATTTCTATCCTCTCTGTTCATTGCTTCTGCATGTGTTTGTGTGTATAGGTGCACATGTATATAATGGTGTGCGTGTAGAGACAGGTTAACCACTTTAGCATTCCCTCCATACTATCCACCTCATTTTTTGAGACAGGGTCTCTCACTGAAGCTGAGTTTGCAAATTAGCCTAGATTGACTGACCAGTGAGCCCCAGGGATTTTCCATCCCTGTCTTAACATCTCTGAGATTACAAGTTTGCTCCACTATGCATGACTTTTAAAAATTTTTATTTTTTTACTTTATCTGTTAGTATTGTGTGTGTGCTTGGTTATTAGTGTGTGAGTGTGTGTGCACGCGTGCGCGTGTGCGCCCGGCACACATGTGCCACAACCCACATGTGGAAGTCAGAGGATAACTTTCTAGAGCCTGTTCTCTCCTGCCACGTTGTGGGATCTGGGACTCAGATCATCAGGCCTGAATGCAAATGCCTCTATTTGCTAAGCCATATTTCTGGCTCCTAGTTTTTCTAAAAGCATGGGTTCTGGAGATCAAACACAAGTCCTTATGCTTGTAAGGCAAGCGCTTTACTGACTGAGCGTCTTCCCAGCCCCTCTTTATCCATTTATGATAATCTGTTCTCTAGCCCTTGTCATTGGGAAGAGGGCCTGACGCTCCTCTAAGACTCTGCTGTGGATTCCTCCCTCAGGCAGGTTGTGGAGAAGCCCTAAGGATCCCAGACCCTCCAGCATCCCAGCTGTGTGGACTTTTACTGGCTGAATATAACTGAGAAAGCTGTGCAATTTTCAGTTTGCTGCCCATGATAATTCCTTCAAAGAACAAAAAAACTCTTCCCAGTGATTCCCGCGCAGCTTTCTGTTTCCTGTACCTTGTAGCTCTCCCTTTTCATTTTCCTCTTAGCAGATCATTTCAGATAAATTCCTTATGGCTGTTGTCTTTAAAATGTCTTGTGCAAGTTGCTTTCCAGCTTTAAGGCTTTGCCACGAGTCTGGAAGGAAGATGTACGTGTTCAACAGCGTTTCCTTGTTTCTGTGACCAAGGTCAATTATCCCAACCAAACAGGAGCCAAGCCGTGACCTTCCCTCTGCCTGTGGGGTGGTATGGGTGCCTGGCTAGTCCGTGCGATTCTTTATCACAAGTTTTCTGTGCACTTCCTCTGAAAATTGGTGATGTGCTGTGCGAAGAAAGCTATGTGGTGCATCTATTCAAAGTTTTAGGTTAGTTATTTTGGTGGTGTGATATTGCCTAAGGCTGACCCTTCCAAGGTTAGAATTAGCAGTGAACGGGGTGGTACTGTTTGCTAAGGAATCCAGTAGCATTTTAGAGACACAGATGCATGTTATGTAAGAACAGATAAAAATTACAGGAAGTTTCGTGGCCAGAAGTAATTTTAGATGGCTAAATATATTCTTACATTATTAGATTTGATTGGGCTGGGCTGGTGTCTGCCTGCCTCCCTGGAAGGTGTTTTGTTAGAGCAACCTAGAGAACTTTCCTCTCTGCTCTGGGTGTCGCATTGTAAGACACGAGCGAATTCAGTGACATCCGTCCTGGACACAAGCTTACATCTGCACAGTGGCATGGACACAAGCTTACATCTGCACAGTGGCATGGGTTGTTTGACAGGTTTCTTCCCTTTGCTAATTTGGTATTTATTAGCTCACCACAGTTGCTCTTTCAACATTTCAGGGTCCCTATCCTTGGTCCTGGTTTATGTGCTATTTTCTCTCTGTATGTTTTACTGCGTTGAAATGGAAATACTGTTATGCATCAGCTTAGGTACAGAAACTGTTTTTCACACTGGGGTCTTTCGTGGGGTTAAACACTGTTTCCTAAAGGGAAGCCCTGGGAGGTTGCTTCGATTTGGGGGAGGTGGTGGGGTCACCTATATGTCCTCACTTAGGACCTGGAGATTGGTTTGTGGCATTTTTCTGGTTGATCTCAGGGGGTTTCTAATGGTGAATGCTGATACCTCAAGTCTCCTCTTCTGCGCTGAACCCTCCAGTGGCCCTCATGATAGAGGTCTGAAGGCCTGAGTCAACTATGGAAGCTAAGCCTTGGTGAAGGGGGTCTGAGGACTGTCCTGTTAAAATGTGCAGGGCCAACACAGCCTCCAGAGAGGGTGTTCAACATTGCTGTTTGGCCTTGATATAGTAATAGGGGTAGGTGTGTGTGCGTGTGTGTGTGTGTGTGTGCATGCTTGTGTGTGTGTTTTATATGCATGTGTGTATCTGGATGTGCTCCCACCAACATTGCTGTTTGGCCTTGATATAGTAATAGGGGTAGGTGTGTGTGCGTGTGTGTGCTTTATATGCATGTGTGTATCTGGATGTGCTCCCATTGAACATCGTGGAGCCCAGAGGCTGGCATAGAGGTTGCTTCTCTAACTTATTTTTTGAGCCAAGACCTTTCACCGAACCTGGAGTTTGCTGTTTTGGCCAGATTGGGTGGCTAACAGGCCCCCAGATCTGCCTCCCTCAGTCCCCTGATGCTGGGCTAAAGGTGCACGCCACCGCACTTGGCTTTTATGTGGGTGCTGCAGACTGAACGCAGCACACATACTTTGTCATACTGAACTCATACTTTCTCAGCAAGCAGTTCACCTACTGAACCATCTCCCCACCCCTGTGACAGATATTAGCAGGGTCATTTAGTTTGGGTGAGATGTCTCATGGGTGGAAAGGAAGACCTGGGTGGATTTTCAGGTTAGGTAGAAGCAGCAGCTACAGCAAGTGTGGACTTGAGTCCCTTCTCTCAGGCAGCCATTGGAGCTCAGCTCTGCTTCCCAGACTCTTGTGCCTATTTCATGACCCCTAACCTCAGGACCGCAGCCAAAGCCTTCATTCTAAAATCTTTTCAATTGAGAGAAAGGAACACCAGATGTACCATTTTAAGTGTGAGGTTCAGCGGCATTACAGTTTGTAATCATTTTGGAATCATCATTGCCGTCCTCGTACCCTAGAAGTCCATTCCTAGTAAGCAGTGAGCCTCCTCCCTCTCCCTCCTGTTCCCCCATGGTCACTAGTAACCTGACTGCTCTAGGGAGCTCACAGACGTGGGGTTACAGAGTAACGGTCTCCGTGCCTGACTTACTTCACTTAGCACAGTGCCTTGGTGTTCACTGTGTTGTAGTGTACATTAGAATCTCCTTCTTTTGGTTTTTAAAATGTTCTATTTTTATGTGCACGTGTGTGTGTGTGTGTGTGTGTGTGTGTCTGCATCTCTGTCTGTTCATATGTGTGCATGTGGAGGCCAGAGGACACTCACAGGAGGTGGTGTCCTCAGGAAGGCCGTCTTCCTTCTTCATTGGATTGGAGCCAGCACGTAGGCTAGGTTTACCTGCAGTCATCCCCTAGGATTTTCTCCCTTCACCTCCCCTGTTCCCCAGCAACTGTTTGATCCCATTGATATACCACATTGTGTTTGCTGTCTATTGATGCGCACCTGGGTGGCTCCTGTGTTTTGGCTGTTGTAAGCTAGACGTTTGAGTCTCTGTGAGACCCTGCCCTCTGGTCTCTATGCTTGGAAATGTGGACTCACATAGGAACTGTGTGGTTAACGTTTTGAGGATTTACTACACAGTTTCCTGCAATGCCCTGTGATTTTACTCTAATCCTTTTTAAACCTCTGCTTACATTCGCCTTAGCGCAGTTCCTAGTAGTTTCTTGGACTCTGGCTCCCCATGTCTTCAGTGGCGCTTCTCTGTGGCCCTAGGCTTTGTGGGTGACTCTGGCCTTCTTTGCTCCCTCTGAATAAGGGAAATCCACCCCACTGCCCACAGCCCATCTTGACCTGTGTTGAGTTCCTAGTAGGTTGCCTTCTAGGAACAGTGTGGCTGCACACTGGCGATTTGAGGGTGTTTGGAAACAGCCTCCATCTGTATTGATTGACAGTGGCTCCATCCAGATACTCTAGACTGGACAGATGTAGGTCCATGTTCCTTGTGGAATAGTTCATCTGGGAGGATGTATGTGCCAAACCAATGAGGATTTTGATGACAGGCCACAGAGGATAGGGGACTCCCAGGGGGACATCAAACGAGTCAAATGGGACTGGTGGTGAAAGGTTCTTGGGGGATCTGTGGATGGTGGCCCCACTGTGTGACAGTGGGTGTTTCTGTTCTCAGCCACTCACGGGTCCCTCTGGGGACTGAGATACCAGAGCTTTGCCATCAGTGACCTCAGGTGTTGACCTTGGCACTCAGACCCACAGGTATCATTTCCTTCTCCCTGGGATCACCATGGAAAGATGATTCCATGCGCAGCCTAGAGGTGTGGTCTCTTGTTCTGTCTGGGGTTGGGAATTCTAGAATTTTCTGTAGAAGGAAACTTTGATCATGAGCCATAGTAAAAAACAGATTCTCACTCATGGTGCATGTACCTGCAAGTATGTATATGTGTATATTGTGTGAATGTATATGTAACATATCTGTACGTGTGTCCCCTTGTGTGTCTGTATGTCCATGCACATCTGTCCTTACTTGCTTTCTGTTGCTGTGACAAAACACTGACTCAAATCCACTCGGGGGAGGAAAGGGTTTATATAGCCTACAGGTTTCTGTCCATTATCAGTGGAAGCTGGGGCAAGAACTGAAGCAGAGACCATGGAGGAACGCTACTTACTGGCTTGCTTTCCCTGATGTGCTCAATACCTTTCT